ATGAATCATTAAATTCTACTCTTGAAACCAATATTACCCTATATGTTAAGTAACTAGAATTTGAATCAAAACTTGAAATAAAGAAATGCAGAGGAAGGATTGTTGAACTACCTAATACAAAATTACTAGGAAGTCCTTGCATAGGTTCATTTTACTTACGTAATACAATAATGAACAGAGAAAATGAAGGAAAAGTCCATTATTATCCTTAAATTCTACTTTGAGTCCCTCCCAAACTTATTTTCTATAGCCTCACAGATAGAAAGGCTAGAGCCACGTTAAAATGAGCCAAAAGAAACTGAGTGTAAGTCTTTTTACAGGTCTTGGAGATCTGATAGTGATTAAAGAATTATTCAAGGATCATTTGACTATACATTCGTTGCAATGTGAGCTGATTTAAAAATATAACCTCGGAATTACATGTAATCTCACTGTGTTACTGTGTATCTCCTGTTCTCAAAAACAGATTTGTATTCTCTGCATCTCATTAGTCTATGATGTACACTTAAATTTAATCATGAAATGTAAAAATATCAGTTGTGATTATTTACTAGTATTTTCACTGCTAAAATTTCAAGTGCTGTGCTAAGTGCAGAAAAGATCAAGAAAATACAGAATAATGGAAAAGCTATAGGAACACTGTAATTTAATGAAATGTATATTTCACATCCTAGAAATTTTGATAAAAGTAAAAGTAATAAAATAAGTGTGAAGTATAATGAGTTTTTAAAAATAATTTCTGATCTCAGGAAGCAACAGAATCATTAAGAAATACAGAAATCATTTTTCTGTATAAAGCACACAAAACAATCCTAATTTGAAGGAGGAGTTCTAAGGGCCAGTGGAACAGATGTGGCATATAAAATCTGGGCTGCATATTACTTTATTCATTACTTTTTGAAAATAAAACCTCTGTGGTCTTATAGCAGATACACTATTCAGAAAGCTGGAAGAGGGTGCTTTGGGCACTAGGATGGAATTTTGGAAGACGTATAGTTTCTACCTGGCATAGAGACAGGGTCATATAGCAAATTTGGTATATTCCCTTTAGTGCCACATCTTTACCAGACATGGAGAAGACATAATACCAAAAGAAAATTCCCTTTAAACATGACAGCATTATCCCTTGGACCATTCTCATGCTTAGTTTTTGGAAAAATTTGTATTCTCTCTAAAAACCGGGAAAAGATGATATCCATATTTCATATACTTGAAGAGATTTCTACAAAAGGGAGTACAGATGTGACCAGAATGACAAATGGACTTAACACCCCCCACAACTCCCTGTTTGTATATGACAGTTGTTCTTACTGGGAATGTGGGCTGAATTCTAACTAAAACTCATAAACTGCCTTACTTGGAAGAATGAAGGCTGGGTATGTGTGTATGAGAAGCTTTGTGGGAATGTGATGTTGGAGGACAAATTTGAATCTTACCTGCCTCTCTGGAACACACATCAGATATTGGAGAGCATACCAAACAGGATTCCTCCTATGTACACTAGATATAGACAACTGCAGCTATCAAAGGATAAACAGCATTTTGTTTGTGGTAGTTCTAGGTTGTCACATCTTACCCAGGGAAGAATTTTAGAACAAAAAGCAAAGGCTCCCTGTTTGTAGTGCTTTTGGGTCTCATTCATTCTCACATTGCTGTATCTCTGAATTGATGAGGTTCAACCAGTAAAGTAACCGTTCTCACTTTTCTTAACCCATATAATGTGTTATAGAACAGCTCAATACATGAGATTACCTAATAGACAAGGATAAAGATAAACGATAGAAAAGAATAAGCAAACAAGGTAAAATTACCAGATATGTAACAATAAGGGGACTACCCTGTGGAAGAATAGATTCTTTCCTATGGAATAGAATTATTTCAAGGAATAAGAAGGCATTTTAGAAAACAGCTAACTGTTTTTGAAAACACGATTGGAAAGAATATTACACCAAGAAACTTACAGTACATTTCAAGTAATGAACTAGAATCCTGAAATAGGAAAGACTTCATAGAGACAGAAAAAATGATGTTAAATTAAAATAATAATAGTTCAAAATAAAGGCAATGAAGGACAGTTGCACAGATTTAAAAAGAAGTGGAATATATGTCTCAAAATTTCTATTGGAAATCAGAAAAATTATTTAGTTACTCATTCAAAGAGAATAAATTCTATATAATAATAATTGGAAATAAAATAAAGCTAAAAATAGAAAGTTTTAAATAAGACAGAAGATTAAATCTATTAATTATGACTATACAGGAATCAGGTAAAATTACCTATGAAAAGACAAAGATTTCCAGATTGGATTACAAAGTAAAATAAGTATATGGCATTTATTAGAGACAAAGTGGAATAATAAGTTTAAAAATGAACTTTAAACAAATCTTTTTTATTTTTTTATATTTTTATAAAGAGTTTTATTTATTTAATTGACAGAGAGAGAGCACAAGCAGGGGGCAGGGGCAGCCAGAGGGAGAGGGAGAAGCAGGCTCCCCACTGAGCAGGGAGCCTGATGTGGGGCTCAATCCCAGGACCTTGGGATCATGACCTGAGCCGAAGGCAGACGCTTAACCAACTGAGCCACCCAGGCATTTTTATGCCTAAACAAATCTTTTAAAAAATATTTTATTTATTTATTTATTTATTTATTTATTTATTTATTTATTTATTTGTTTAGGAGAGAGAGACAGAGACAGAGACAGAGAAAGATAGCAGGGGAGGAGCAGAGAGAGGACAAGCAGAATCCATGCTGAACACAGAGCCTGAAGTGGGGCTCCATCCCAGGACCCTAATATCATGACCTGCACTGAATGAATACTAGAGTCAGACACTTAACCCACTGAGCCACCCAGGTGCCCCAACAAATCTTTTAAAAAAATTCCCTTATGTAAGTCAGTATTAATATTTAATATCAAATAAAGAATAATTTAGGAAAAAGTAAATAAAATGAGGTGCCTTCCAAGTTTAATAAAAAAATGCATAAGAGCTATAACAAATTATAAAGCACTAGTGCAAAACAGGTAATAGAAAGAAAATTTAACCAAAGCAAGTGTAATGGAGAACTCTAGTTCACAATTTATCAATTCTTGACAGATTAAAAAAGAGTACAGAGAATTTGAATTATATAATTACTAAAGGACATTTAATATATGTATTAAATTTGGTGTGCTACACACCTAGAAGAAACATTTTTTTTTTCAGAAGCCACAAAACATTTTCAAAAATTGATCATACCAATTCAAATGTAGATATAATATATCACAGTTTCTGACACTGTGATAAAGCTGGATAATACAATTTTAAATGATCAAAACAAAACAGCAAATGCTGGTAATATACTGTATATATGTATAAATGTATATCAATTCATGTATATATGTATATATATGTGTATATATATATATATATATATATATATCAGTATCTGAAATAACTCAAAGAGAATCTCAAAGGTACAATTGCAGGTTACAGAGAGTCTCCAACTTATAATGGTTCAACTTACGATCTTTGATTTTATGATGGTGTAAAAACAATTTGCGTTCAGTAGAAACTGTAATTTGAAAATTTTCTTTCTTTTTTTTTTTTTTAAATTTTATTTATTTATTTGAGACAGAGAGCATGAGAGGGAGGAGGGTCAGAGGGAGAAGCAGACTCCCCGCCGAGCAGGGAGCCCGATGCGGGACTTGATCCCAGGACTCCAGGATCATGACCTGAGCCGAAGGCAGTCGCTTAACCAACTGAGCCACCCAGGCGCCCCAATTTGAAAATTTTCAATTTTTAAAGTGATATGTGCTAATCCTATGCCTGGCCCATGAAACTATCTAGGGGCTTCCTCAATTTGCTTTTCCCTTCCTCCTCTGGATATAAAATTTGATAAGGACTGAAATAATGACTTATGCAGCCACACCATAGAAGGAACTTGGGCCCCTGCATAAAGCTCGTAAGACAACCACTCTGCAGACTTCTATACCCAGTTCAACTCCAAATACCTTCTACAGTTGGGCTAGTATGTATTTAGAACTGTATTTGTCACAGGTCCTTGGTATACCCTAAATAATGAACAAGAAACAAAATATTATATTAAGCAATAAAATACAGAAAAAATCATTTCTGTATTTAGGAATACAGAATTTGACATTCTAAATTAAATACCACTACATTAAATAAAGCACCAAGTAAAAGAATCATATGCAATGAGCAAGTGGAGTTTATTCTAGAGGTTTATTTGTAACATATATGTAAATATTTAATAGACAACTCCTTTTATTTTTGTGACAGGAATCTTAAACTAATCAGGTTTATAACTAAACCCTTTTTTTTTTTTCTCTCCATATCTGCTCCTCCTTCAAGTTTTCTCCTTCCTTGTAGGTTTGCTTCCATTTTATCAATTACTCGAGCAAAAATGATGGTTTCATCCTTTACTCTAGTTTTCTCACATCTCGCATTGTCAATAGGTAATGTTCTGTTCTACTTGCAAAATTCTTCCGGATTCTGACCATTTCTTACAACTTCTCAGTCACCACTCTGTTCCAACATACTCCCATATCTCACCTGTATTACTTTTTATTAACAAGCCCTCATGATTCATCCCTTGCCTCCGGGAGCATGTTCAGTAGTCAGAATAATCTTCTAAATATAGGTGAGATTGTCATTCATCAGTTCAACGGTTCCTCGTTTTATATAGAATAAAAGGAAACATCCTCTAGTGCCTGCAAGGACCAATGGGATCTGGACCACTACTCCATTCTGTCTTTTGGACTTGTTTCCCTGCCTCTCTCCCTTGATTGAGCAGGCTGTAGTAATTGCTCTCATTGCTGTTTCACTAATAAGCCAACCACACTCTTTGTTTAGGACATTTGAATTCGCTTCCCTGTCTTGAATGTTCTTGTAACCTATAGCCACATTTCTTACTCCTTCCTTTAGTCCTATCTCCAGTCACCCTGAATAAAATAGCTACATTTTTCTTTATATACCTCTTATTATGCCTTTTTTTCTCCATAGGAATTATCAGTACCTGACATATTTCCTACTTACTTAGATGTCTTCTTCACCACTACGGGGTAAGCTCCAGGAGGCAAAGGACTTTAGTTTCTTTAGTTGAGTAAATGAATGAGGAGAAAGAGAGTTTAACATTAGTGAATCAATTAACATAATTTGTCACAACAATAGATAGAAGATCAAAGGAGAAAAATCTTATGGGATGAAGAACTGGAAAGATACTAGACAGAATTAATTTCAGTATTAACAAAGACTATATCAGAATTCTTCTTTAATATGATAATGAACATCAATCTTAAAAACTAATGTATTAAGGAGTACTGAAACAGAAAAAGAATTCATTTAAATTTCAGAAACTAGCTAAAAATGTCCCACTTAACACTAAATTTAACATTTGTCTGAAAGTTATATAACCAATGCAATATGGGTCAAAAACATAAATAAGACACAACTCACTATTTTTACATATGTTAAACTAGGAAAATCCAAAAGTATTAACCGAAAATATATTAGATATTTTGGGAGAGCAATTGGAAAGATCTTTACTTTCTTCCTTTTTTCTGTTGACCAGGATTTTGTCACCATAACTCTAAACTGCTTATCAGAGTCTCCGATGTCATTCACAGTTCCAGTTAAATGGCTGCAACAATTTCAGACCTCACAACTGAAGACAGAGAGTGTCTATTCAGGTAGCTTCCAGAAGTATCCTGCAAATGTTGCTTCATCAGCGGGTCAGTAGAGAGTTTCTGGACAAATCTTAATATCAGAGTGAATGGGATGTGCTCATTGGTTTAAACAATTTGTGGGGTCCACTAGTAGAACTAAAACCACATGTGCTGTGTTGAAAAAAGGTTGGGCACTCCAAAATCAAACTATTTATTTTTTACAAGAGGGATATTAATATATGAGGTTATGAAAATTGGTGATGTATGCTCTATATTCAATAATTGCCTTTAAGGACAAAGTTATAGTCTCTCCGCTACAAACACACCAGAACAGAGAGATTATTCGATTTTATTCCCATAGCCCAGGGGATAGCTGGTTTCTGAGCTTGTATGTTTCCTTAATGAATAGTTTTCATCAAAAATGTGAAACACTTAAAATCTGTCTTGAATAAGATTAATTTCCTTGACAATGTTAGTTCTGGTGAATAAATATTAGAGATTTTTATAACAGAAATAAAGAAAAAACCTTATGTAAATCCATACTGAATATGAAGTATAAGAAAGGCAAAAATTATCAATTTTCAGGCCAAATATAATAAAATGGCTTTCAATTAAATTTTATAAGGACAAAACAATATTTATTATCTAAAGATTTATCTTAGAACTCTGCATTTATCTATGTTATATCAAAGAAAAATAATATCTTTATATTGTAAAAATGGGAAACACAAAGCAATGCATTCAATACCAGTGGCTTACCTGAACATGGTATTATTGGTATCATGGAATAATGAAATTCTCCCAGGTTGCATTCTCCTTCATTAAGAAAGTTAATAGAAATTCATATATAAAAAAAAAGTAAATACAGGACAATTATATTAATTTAGACTGTGGCAGAAGTAATGTTCTTAATTATTTTTTCCTTGAAATAGTCTATAATAATACATTCATTATTTAATATTCAAATTTATATTAATATCTGGATATAATATTCATTTTAAACTTACAAAACTACAGTAAACTGGTCAAAATATTTCCCATCTGAATTAAACTTGCTACTGAACTAAAACTGTATTTTACTTAATTTGAATATGTTGATGCAATCAGCACTATTATGATTATTCTTACTACCGCCACCACAACCATCACATTTTTACTCTTTTTACTATTACCAGCACTACTATTACTATAGTATTTATTGCTTTTGATGTCACTATAAAACTGTGGTTATTCATTAAACAATTCAGACGTTTTCTTAGTTTTGTAGTGATTTCTCTCAAGCTTCTCAGATCCCATCACTCATCATTTTACATGGTAGAGGGTGCAGAGGAAAAAGCAGTTAGGAACACACAAATCTTTGCCAGTTAATAGCTAGATAGCTTTGTTTTATTTTTATTTATTTTTTTTACTTTTTCAATATTTTTTATTTAAATTCAATTAGCCAATATATAATACATCATTAGTTTTTGATGTAATGTTCAATGATTCATTAATTGCATATAACATCCAGAGCTCATCACATTACGTGCCCTCCTTAATGCTCATCACCCAGTTACCCCATTCGTCCACCCACCTCCCCTCCAGCAACCCTCAGTTTGTTTCCCGGAGTCAAGAGTTGCTCATGATTTGTCTCCCTCCCTGATTTCTTCCCATTCAGTTTTCCCTCCCTTCCTTTATGATCCTTCACACTATTCCTTATATTCCACATATGAGTGAAACCACATGATAATTGACTTTCTCTGCTTGACTTATTTCACTTAGCCTAATCTCCTCCAGTCCCATCCATGTTGATGTAAAAGTTGGGTATTCATCCCTTCTGATGGCTGAGTTATATTCCATTGTATACATGAACCACATCTTCTTTATCCATTCATCTGTCAAAGGACATCTCGGATCTTTCCACAGTTTGACTATTGTGGACACTGATAGCATGAATATTGGTGTGTGTGTGCCCCTTCTTTTCACTACATCTGTATCTTTGGGGTAAATACCCAGTAGTGCAATTGCTGTGTTGTAGGGTAGCTCTATTTTTAACATCTTGAGGAACCTCCATACTGTTTTCCAGAGCGGCTGCACCAGCTTGTATTCCCACCAGCAGTGTAAAAGTATTCCCCTTTCTCCACATCCTTGCCAACATTTGTTGTTCCCTGACTTGTTAATTTTAGCCATTCTGACTGGTGCAAGGTGGTATCTCACTATCATTTTGATTTGTATTTCCCTGATGGCAAGTGATGTGGAACATTTTTTCATGTGTCTGTTGGATAGCTTTGTTTTAGTAATAAATTCTCTCTGAGCCTCAGTTTATTCCCACATAAAATGTGATAACTATGTATCTTTTAATTTGGTGAAAAAATAGTAGGATAATGTATATGAAATATCTGTATCTAAGAAATGATAAAAATGATCATGTATATATTATGCTTGAGGATCAAGAAATACTAACTCATTTTTTTTTCTGACCCAAGCAGTGACCCTCATCTTACTGTGCCTTTTAAAAGATATTTATGATATGGTGAGTTTTCCTATTCTTTCATAATTTTGTATACTCACATTTGGGTATTCTCTGGGTCCGTTATATTTTTCTTGGAGAAAATAATCTGAATAATAGCTGATGTAATATATATTCACTAATAACAGGACATTTTGCAACAATTCAAAGTTATAATGAATTTAGCATTTGTTCTCTTGTTATATATAAAGTCTTTCTTTCAATAAAAATCACTGTTAGTATCCTCCAGAAAAATATGCTGAAATATTTTAGTGAATTGTTATTGGCTTCATGACACTAGCCAGATTTTGAAGTTTATCTTCCTAGACTCCTAATTCTTTAAGGATAATTTACTAAGCAAATTAGTAGTACCATAGTAAAGAGGTCATATATGTAACAATTTTCTTTTTCTGTCTGCACAAAACAACTAATAAAAAAACAATTTAGTTTGAAAAAATGAGCAATGTGGGCTGTATATTATATATAGCTAAAATATTGGATACATTAATATCATAGCCATAATTAATAGTATTCTTCAAATAAAAACTATCATATGCCCTATTTAATTCAATTATAAGACTAAGACCATCTAGTACAATTTTCAAGTCAGAATAATACTAAAAAGGGGTGCCTGGGTGGCTCAGTTGTTAAACGTCTGCCTTCAGCTCCGATTGTGATCCTGGGGTCGAGCCCAGCATCGGGCTCCCTGCTCAGCTGGAAGCCTGCTTCTCCCTCTCCCACTCCCCGTGCTTGTGTTCCTTCTCTGGCTGTGTCTCTCTCTGACAAATAAAAAAATAAAATCTTAAAAAAAAAAGGGAATACTAAAAAGGCAGTGAGTTGTATGTGGTACAAATGATTAAAATGAATCATTCCGTAATTTCGTTTGGTTATAATAAGTTGATCTCTCTCTGGACAGCTTTCCACACCAAGTTATTTCAGGAATTGCTAGTCTGCGTAGGTTCATAAATTTTTATTGAAATGATGAAGTTTTTTTTTTTTTTAATCTCTTTATCCTGAATCTAGTATCAATGTATTAAATGAATACTCAATAAATACTGTCTGATTGACTGGGAACATCTGAAATAGTTGCTTTATTTGGAGGCAAATATAATAAGTGACTTTTAATGGAAAAGAATGAGTAGCTTCATGCTAAGTAGAATATGAACTTTCTTTTTGGCAATATAAATTGATTCTGAAATTCAATAATGTTTGGACTTTTTTTTTTTGCCTGAAGTTTCCTATTAAACTTTTGTCCTAGAATAACTCTTCTTCTGATCAGTTTTTCCACAATCTAGTGAAATATATAAAACACTTAACAATATTTGTAAAAATGTTCTTTTAAGTAAAACACAAATGAAAAATTGACAGTGTTAAATGCCATTATTTCCAACCTCAAAAGGATTCCAAATCGATATGTCAAATTAAGTCAAATTACATATTTACCTTTAAGTATGGCACTGTCCACATTTTTATTGTCTTAATAGACTCATTTTTTATTTTTTATTTTTTTGGCTGAGTCTACTATTTCCTTAGTTCTGACACATAGTAATCTGTTCTCCACAATTCTCTGCTTGGGAGAATCATCTGCTAACTCTTTGAGTTTAAGTGTTTTTCTAAGTGTGTAAAAGAAGTGCCTTTATTAATTGTTTGTTCCATAGTCATGTTTGCACAATTTTGTACAAAAGAAGTATAGGAAGACATAAATACCAATTGACTTATTATGCTCAAAGTTGTGGTATTAATGCTAACAATACTAATAGTGACAAATTGGGACAAGTTATTTGACACAACATGAATTAATACTGGAATATATAGAGGTACTCTTGCAAATAACAGAAATGCAATAGCATTTAGGAATAGGAAATGCAGGGGTGCCTGGGTAGCTCGGACGGTTAAGCATCTGATCTTTGATTTCAGCTCAGGTCATGATCTCAAGGTTGTGAGATCGAGCCCCATGTAGGGCTATGTGTTGGGTGTGGAGATTCCCTCTTTTCCCCTCCCTCTGCCCCTAACCCCTTCTCTCCCTCTCTAAAAAAAAAAAAAAGGAGGAATAGGAAATGCAATAGTAAAATAGAAGAGTATTAATATGAAACCAACTGAATGAGAAACCTGAATGACTAATAAGTGTACAAAAGGATATTCTATTTACTATTAATGTAACAATTAAAAATTAAAATAATAACATTATACTGATAAAATCATCAATTTTTTTTTTAAATCCAATACTACCAAATTTGGTGATGTTTGGAACCAATTAGCCTCATAAACTGCTGGCAGATATGTATATTGATATAGTTTTTTTGTAGAAAATTTGGTAATCTTTAGTTAAAATATGTATTTGCATACCCAATGACTAAGAAACCTTCTGTGTGTTCTTCAGAAATGCCTGAGGAAAAAAAAAAAGTGAACAAGTGTCTATGCAACATTAGTTTTGATAGCAAGGCACTGGATTAGAGGTAGCATAGATGTCTATATACAAGAGAACTGATAAATGTTTGCATGCTTTCTATATAGCAAAATTGTTCCTTAAAATCATATTACAGGATTTATTTATGTAGAATTCCCCCAAAATACAAGTTTATAGAAACAAATTAGATTAATGGTTCAAAGGGCTAGGGATAGAAATGGGGAGTGATTACAAATGGGCACAAGTTTAGAAACGTTCTAAAATTAAATTGTGATGATGTTTGTACAACTCTATAAATATACTAAAATTTATTGAAATGCACATTGAAAATAGGTAAATTTTATGGCATGTAAATTATATCTCAATAGGGCTAGTAATTTACGAAATAACAAAGACAAATTATAACATAATACTATTTATCTTTGCAAATATATACAAAAGCAAATATATACAAGAGCCAAAGAAACCAACTACTTTAAGTGGATTTTTATAAAGAGAATGCAAATACAGAATTGGGGTGTGGCCCCATAGGACAGTACATGTATGACAGTAAATAAGCCTTGTATGTACAAATGAGTGCCTTAACTTGACAATGATTAACTCATTGTCTCTGGGAAAAAAATAAAATAAAGCAACTATCAAATATGGTACTTGATGAAAGCCCAGGAGAGGATAACATTTTATTAACATAAGGTTTTGAGAATCCAAAGTGCTGTGCTGTTTATTACAATTCCCAGGAAGATTTGGAGGTATTCAGTGTAGATCAGAATAGCACAATGAACGAGGAGACTAAACTGGGCAAGGGGTGGGGGACAAATCATTTTATGTGAAAAATATACATTCTTCACTGTTATCATAATTATGTTCTCTTTTATAGTTATCAAAAAGACAGGAGTCGAAGTATTCATCTATTTAAATGACATATCTTTGTTTTTTAAAATATCTCAGAAAATGGCCTTTAACCATGAAGCTCATAGAGATCATTGTTTTTTAAAAATACATTATGATAGGAAATTGAATTTAAACCTTAGTCTATAAGATATGCTTGGTATAGAAAATTAAATTTGTTTACATTATCTTTAAATAAATTTGTGGATGTTATGATAATTATTCTACATTCTATAAAGAAGATTCACATGTTTCAATTGTAAACTCCTACTCTATACACTGTATATGTCCCTTCCTTTTTTTTTTTTTTCCCCCCCACATAAAGCACCTGAATCTTTGGCTTAGCATCTCTGTGTAATTCTGCTAATAATAAAATATATCTCCAATAGATTCTCATACAAACATATGTAAGTTTCTTTCTTCTATAATCATCATCTATTAGAAAGAAATTGGCAGACAATATATACTTATAAAGTACAGATTAATTGATTTGCTCATTTTTTTTATTAGATCAGATTGCCCTTTAATTGTATCTAAGAGAATTTCCAGCAAAGAGATTGGGAATAAGTAGTTAAGCATGACAGTAGTCTGTCACCCATCAAAACTTTTAGTCTCCTTACTTGTAAATGAGGACATTACTACCTGTGCTGCCTTCTAAACTTTCAGAAAAATTTAGGAACAAATGAGTTTATGTGAAAAAAATATTTGAAGAGCTTCCCCTAATTGAAAAAGTATAATAGTCTAGATGGACAAATCATTTTCCTTATATGCTCTTGCATGATATCTAAGGATAATCAGGGTTACTCTATAACAGTCATAAATAGAATTAAGTCAGTGCTTATTATGCTGACTTGTTATGCTTATTATAATGCAGTTTATTCTGTAACTTCCTACATTGTACCTGGATCCAAATCTTTTTCTGTAAAAATCCAAAAGGAAGCTGGAATTCACAATGAAAAACAAAGTTTGGGTCCTAATAAATCTTCGTTAATAAACATTCAGATAAGTAAGAAAGATGAAATCTACTTAAGTAGGAAAAAAATCTGAAAGCAGTTTATTAATGGTATTGACCTGGTTCTTTTGGAAGATACATATTCAATTAGAAAAAAAAACAAAACAAAGTAAAACATCTCATTTGTGGAGACCTTAATGATATGCAATTTTGCTCCTAAATCTAGATTTTATTCCAAACTGAAAAGATTTTATTCCCAATTTTATTTTGCTATAAAATATTTATGAGTAACCCAAAAAGTTTAACTGCTGTGTTTGAATTTTCCATTTTTCTTAAATTCAAGAAGAGAAAGTAATATATAATAGACAAAATAATCCTGATTATGTTATATATAACTATGTAACTAAAATAATTGTGACCATTTTTGTTTTCAATTATGATAGCCTCTCACTTAGATTCAAATACTATTTTGCTTATTTTTAACATTCTTGCTGAAATGATTCACAAATGTAGTTCCAAAAAGTAATATTTTCTTTGGTTAACCAGTAATTTTTATTCTATGTTTTTGTTTCAATGATACTTTTTCAAAACTGTTATGGAAGTACATAACTTTGTTAAAACCTACATTAACTTCAAAATTTTAGCTAATATAAATTTAAAGTTTTTAATTTCTTGCAATACCCCAAAGATTTAGATAGAAAAATAAAGCCTTTTTTTATATTATGTGATTTTTTGTTATAATTAATGTTTATAAATTCAATGACCCTTCACTCCCCA